TTAGTTCTCGCTCTCTCTCTCTCTCTCTCTCTCTCTCTCTCTCTCTCATATATCAATGTAGTATGAGAGAGAATTGAGCATGTTAACCTTCTCTTTCTCATATATCAATGCTTTTGTTAGACTTTTCTTGACCTAGGGATAAATGGTCTAACTATATCATTTTTTTTACAATATGGTAGCCTTCAATATAAATTTAGGAATATTCACATTGAAGCCATTTGAAATCTCTCTCTTCTCTCTCTCTCGCTCCCCCTCTCTACTAACAATCTCTTCCACTAATTTTGTTCCATATAACTTCTTTCAAAAATTGAAACTCCTAAGTTAATATTTTTAGAATCTTATAATATGGAAGTGCTTTCAAATATTTTTAAAGTATTTTGATGTGGTTTTTTTTATCTTATAATATGGAAGTATCTTCTAATATTTCTAAATTATTTTGATGCAATATTATAAAATACTATTTATAATTAGTAATTATACAGACATCTAAACAACGAAACACCGTCTCAATATCCACATATTCTTGCAAATAATGAAACTACATAATACACACCCCCAATTTAAAAAAAAAAAAACTCAAAAAGCATTATTTTTAGATATTTTTACTATTTTTTAAAAAAAAATTGGCACCGAATCTTGCCAATTCTCCAATCCGACATGGTTTTTGGGGAGGCCGATTCGAGTCACCGGTCCGTTTTTTAAAACCTTAGGCTAAAGAGTTGGCTCGATTTGGCTTGTCACTAGCAAAATATTGCTCAAAATCAGTTCTCTAGTCGGCTTGTCTTGGCCACACCCTTAGTTGCATGTAACTAAAGGATTCTAATGCACCAAAAACATGCATCAATAAAAGTCAATGAAATCCGCAAATTTCATAATAAGAAATTCTAGTAAGGTCTAGGAACAGAAAGCCCACGCATAAAACAAACTAGGGATTTGCAAAGCTAGGGTATGTTTGTGTCGAATTGGCCTTGATAACATGTTAGGTCTAAGCAACAAATGCGCACCAATGAAAACGAGGGGTCGTTAAACACCACACACACACACACACCTGAGCACGTAGAATGGCTACAATACCTCTTAAGATACCATCTATGATGTATGGAAATTGATAGAGAATAGAAAACAGCAATGATTCAAGCCAAATCACAAGCAAGCTCTTTAAGAGGGTACATCAAAGCACAAATGGTTCCTTCTTTTCAAACAAGTCCAGTGAATGACCCAAGACTCTTAGCTTAATAATTTTTTAAACAATTATTAAAAAATTTAAAAATATAAAAACCCTAATATCCCAAAAAAAAACTTAAAAAGCCCTAGAAATAAACCCTAAAATCAAAGTTAAAAACGCATTCTTTGAATTAAATAACAATTAAAATAATAAGAACTTTGTCTTGCATCAATCTCCCTTTGATGTAGAAAACTCATCCTTGAGTTTTAAAGTAGGCTAGGGATGAATACAACATGACAACCATCTTCCTCTTCTTTATTGGTTTAAATATTATTCATCATAAGAAGAAATCCACGAGAAACGCATCCTAGTATTTATAATGAGGAATTGATACAAACTCATCAAATTCGACTATACCAAAAATCGCTTAGAAAATTGAGTAAGAAACTTCAAACCAAATTTTCTGGCCTTTAAAGGCTTTCTCGACATCTATTTCATTACTCTAAATCCAAGGTCACAAATTGTTGCTTGTGAGTCAACCACACCTCACCCGTGCTGCTCTGATACCAATGCCCTAAACCTCTAGAATTCTCCACCTCTTCGATATCCTTGAGATCCTCAAAGGCTCTAATTTTGATCAATCCTCGTTATGCTTTCTCTCCATAGTTTAACAAGATCATCAATCTTCATCCTCGTCAAGATCCTTTTCATAGATTGGATCTCCTAAGAGATCTTGTTGTTCATTTGAGCCTGTAATAAAAATGGGTGGCAAATCCCAATTTACAACCTGCTGATGTTGGAAACAACTTGCCTCAAAAATCAAGAATGCCCCCTTCAATATCAAAAATTCTAAAGTGATGCTCCCCACATTGAGGTCTTCTATCACTCGTCTTCACTCGACTCTTCACGCGAAGCACGGCAGCGAAAATGATTAAATTCGACATCATGGGCGAAAATCCATGAGTGGCCCACGAGTTGCTGCTTTAAGCTGCTGAATTTGGCTTCTGAGGTTTTCAATCGCCTTATCTCTAAGATCACGAAGTGGGTCTGGGAAAACCCCCTCCCAAAGGGCCCTTCTCGCTGCCACTCACCGAAAACACAAATCATAGACAAAATCAACAAAACCTCATTCAAATCAGGAAGATCTAGGCTGATTTGAGTAAAACTTGACCCAAAATAAGCAAACCCTAAACTTGGTTGTAGTTTCAAGGCCTTCTAGTTGAAGAAAATGTATGCAATACCTCACTCAAATCAGTAAGATAGAGGCCGATTTGAAAAAAACTTAGCCCAAATTAAGCAAACCTTAAACTTGGTTGTAGTTTCTTGGCCTTCTAGTTGAAGGAAACCTATGCAAGCTGATGTAAGGAAATTGATAGAAAATAGAAAACAACAACGATTCAGACAAGTCATAAGCAATCTGCTTGAGAAACCTGAGGGGTCTCCTAGAAAAAACCCTAACCAAGGTACATCAAAGCACTAAAGAGCTTCCTTCTTTTCAAACAAGTCACTGAACAACCCCTTAAGGGGCTCATGAACCTCTTAAACAATGCTTATTTAAAGGTTATGCTAGGGTACTAATATAAATGAGTACTTTCTTAATGTGCTCAATATTTTCGAACACTTCATACCCTTTCGCCACCATGTAGGGACTTTTTTGCTTAGGGGTATTTTAAGTAATTAGCCATGGGTAAAGTTGAAATTCTTGATAGAACGACAAGCATTTATTTACTATAGTGGAGAATTCCACATGGGGTGTGACATCACCCATATGGAGCAATAATTGCTTCTCCACCACTTATAGAACTATCTATCATGCCCCACCTAATGACGAGAAATGCCCTTACGAAGAAATTTTGCATTGCGAAACAAGAGTAAATGATTAACCAAAAATGTTAAGTACATTCAAGAAATACTCATACGTATGAGTACCCATACATAATCCTTTATTTAATTGTTCAAAGACATTAAACGTCGATACCAATGTTGGAAAACCCGGATTGGCCATGCAAATTGGTCTTCTAGAAAACAGGGCCAATCGGTTGATCAGCAGACCAATCCAGCCTGAAAACTTTCAAAAAAATTCAAAATTATTATAAATATTATTTTCGGGGTTTCCAAAAAAAATCAAGGTAGTGCATTATGAATATTCATTAGTTTGCCCATACCAATGTCTGTTGATATTAATTTTGATACTTATTGTTTATACTAATTTTGATACAATAACTTCTACAACAAAATTTATACTAATATTGTGATTGTGATTTGAGTGGAGAAAAGAGGGAGAAAGATTGAGAATGGATTTTGTTTGTTTAATATTTAAATTGAGCGACTTCAATGAACTCAAACAATTCCCCATTGTTCTCAAGCCCCCTCGGGTAGATCAGAATTGGCCTGGTGATTCTTTTTTCTTTCTTTTTTTTTCAAACATGTCTATCCAAAAAGAAAATGGCATTTGGTCATTGGTAGTTGATGTCTACAAAATTGAATTTACCCTGGAACATTTTCTTTTGATGTCAAAAAAAGTTCAGCATTTTCTGAAAACATGAGCATAAGGTCATTATTAACAATAAATGTATGCCAAAATTTCTTGAGTTCTTACCAAAATTGCGCATTAGCATTCTGTAAACCATGAGGATGAAGTTCATAAGGGCAACAAAAGTGGGCCTTGTTTTCTTTAAAATGCCCACACTTTTCTCATTCACTCATTATTTACTCTTGAGCACATTAAGCATCGTAATGTCTCATCATTGAGGGGAGATTAGTCCCACATTAAGGATGTGCATGGTCTTGTGAAGCAAGCTCTATAAAAGGCGCTACACCCTTTATTACGCATACGCAGCTAAGCCCCCTTGGCAATAAAAGGATGGGACCAAGGCTTGGTTATTTCAAAAATAGAAAATGATAAACAAATAAATAAATACTAATACAAATGTGAGAACCAGGTCAAAAAAAACTACGAGAATTGAAAACAAAAAATAAAAAAGTGGGAACCAGGAGATCAAGCCGAGCCGGATTGCACGATACCCTGACAAAACCAACGTTTCGTCAAAGAACCGGCCGATTCTTTCAAAAAACCGACCGGTTCTGTAAGGAACCACCAGGCTCTCAATACCGTTACAGAACTGGGTCGGTCCGCAACTATTCTAGTCTATACAATGAATAAAATAACTAACAATTCTTAACTTAATCATAAAATTTGTAATGACAATTTTACCCTTAATAAAACAAAATAAACAAAATACTCTTCTAATCTAACTCCAGAAAATCCCATAAATATTAAAAATCCATAAAAATATAAAAACCCTAAAATTCAAATTAAACATACATCCTTTGAAATTAAATCATTATCATCATCATCCAAGCCTTATCCCAACGATTTGGGATTGGCTTCTAAGTTCACAAAAATATTTGGCAAAGTTTTACGTTGGCTGCTACCTAACACAACCCTCTTACTTTACCCGGGCTTGCGGCCGGCTTGTCCGGCTTGGGGCTGGCCAAGGAAGAGTTACATCCTTTGAAATTAAATAAAACTTAAAAATAAGAATAATTTTGTCATGCATCAATATAACAATGACAAAATGACATTGGTGACCATGGAATGTAAGAAACATAAAACTCATGCAAGATATACATGCCAACAAATCATCATTTCCATGCAACTATTTTATGGAAACAGAGACATGAAACTCTCTATTTATAACCAAATCAAGAAATAACATTAAGGTTCTAATGTTGCCTTTGACTTCTGAATGGACAGAGATTGTTTAAAACAAGACAAATCAAGTTAATTCATGAATGTAAAATTTGTTCTCTAAATAAAGTTTAGGAATCCAACCTCCTTGAGAAATAACCGTAAGATAGCTCTCAAGAGTTTTTGCCTCAAGTGAAAAATATCTTGAAGGCTACCCTGCACAAGCAAAAGGCACTCAATACGACTTGTGAACACAATTAATGCTTCAAAAAAAGAGGTCGGAATCAAAATTCGTTTTAAATAACGTAACATCAAAAAAGAACAAAAGGAACACTTCCAGTAAAACAGGCATGCATGAGATAAAGTTTGGTGTTACACCATGCGATGACCACCACTAAATTGCATGATTATGCAACCACAAGAAAAAAGTGGAGTTCGTATTCTCTAGAATTCACAAATACTACACCATGGTCATGAGAATTCTTACTTTACCAAATTAAGAGACATTAAATAACAGGACTAGCAGGCTCCTATTCACACTAGTTCCTAGGAAGTATTCGAACAAAAGAAATACATCCATTTAGCATTTGATAAAGGAGAGTTTATCCATTGCAAATAAATTAGCTGCATACCTGACAACTCGGTCTACAGAAATAGCAAGCAATGAAGTACAAAGTAGACCTGCAGCCCATTGTGAAAAAATCAGAAGATAGAAAAAGTGTGACAAACAGCAGACACAACCCACTAATTTAAAGTGCATATCCAAGCAGAGAACCATGAAAAAGACAAAAACAAAAAAGCAGGGCAACAATCCTAACCATTGTGGGAACGGGGCAATCGGGGCATCGGTGGTTAAGGGAGCAGGTGCCTCAACATAACATCCTAGGCTCCATTCCCACCGTTAACACTTCAGACAAAAAAGAAAGAAAAAATTGCTAACAAATATTATACAGACCAGAAAAAACGAGTTGTCCGACCAGTAGGACGGCAAACTATCCTGGGAGCAATCCAGCCTCATCACTGAACTGGAAACCCAGTCGGAACCAATATAAACCAGGTGAAGCACTCCAATCAGTGTTTTAAATAGTTGATTGGCCAACACCTAGGCAGTCTAGATTGCCGCCCAAGCGTGCGCCCCGCCCAGGGGAGGGAGGAAATGCGGCTCCTTGATGGTATTTTTGGGTCATTTTTTTAATATTAAAGTGAAAAAATTGTGAGGTTTTAGGTTCATTCGAAACCTAAAACCTATTAGAGGCTATTTTAGAGAGAGAAAACCCCAAAAACAATTTTGGTGGAAATGCGGCTCCTTGATGGTATTTTTAGGTCATTTTTTTTAATATTAAAGTGGAAAAATTGTGGGTTTTAGGTTCATTTGAAACCTAAAACCTATTAGAGGCTATTTTACAGAGAGAAAACCCTAAAAACAATTTTTTTTTCTACTAGGCCGCCTAGGTTCTAGGCGTCCGCCTAGGCGCAAGGCGGCCTAGACCCCCAACCGTCAAGGTGCCGCCTAGCGCTATTTGAAACACTGACTCCAATCTCATCATTAACCTGGAAAACTGATCAGAACCCATATAAACCAGTTGAACCAGCCACCCAAACAAGTTTGACAAGTCATTTTACAAGTTTTATATCTTTTATTTGTTTATTTTCAGACTGGTGGGAGTGCTGAACTGGCCAGTCCAATAGGTTTGGACAAAAACTAGTGCCCTCACTAGTTCAAGTACTGGTCTGGCCTCGATAACAGTGGTTGGATGCTGGTGGATATCCAAGTAGACAACCATTAGTAGCCCACAACTTACCAAAAACATACAGACTTCAAGTTTTATGAGAAGCATGATCACCATCAATATACTCATTTATCAGTTTCAGGGACTCATGGTATAGGGTGTAAATGATCAAGATGGCAATATTACAAGAAATATTGAAGAATGGTGAAAGAAAATTTTGCTCTGTTGAACTATTAACCCTCATAAGTGGCAATAGTCCATTTTTTACATACTGTATAATTTTATTTCCAAGAGCTATTGACAATCAGAAACAAAAATGGTATTTCAAGCAAAAAGCGTGGAGCACATACAATGAAGGCACATCTGAAAATAATTTGAGGTCCCACACTTCTTGAGGTACATCATATATATGTACTAGCCCCTGCAAAGAACAGATTATAAAAAGTGCAATAAGAACCACAAACTCCATTTCTGACACAGGAATAAATATATCAAAGGACCATAGAACTTTCACATAAAAGTTATATTTCTGAATCTGTATGGTTGTTGAAAATGTAAGTTTCTATTACTCTCGAAACAATTCTCCCCAAGAGCATCAAAGCAGCATCCACCTGTTACACCAAGTATAAGATTATTAAGGAAGATTATTACCCATGCATGTCAGAAAAATTCAACTGCAGGTGAAAAAGAAAACATCATATACACCAATCACAGAAAAAAAATGATATCATAGAAATGGACACACCAGAGTTAGAAACAAATGAAATCTACAAACTAGAGGAGAAAATGCCTACATGTTTAAAAGAAGGAAAAAGTTTATATAAGGATGAGGTCCTAAACAATCAAATAAGGCATACCTCAAAAACTCACTATAAGATGTTTTGATGTCAAAAACTCAAATCAATCATCTCAACCTTGAGACACATAAACATGAAAAAAATAGGTTTCATGTTTGGGACATAGTGCATCGTGGAATGCATTATCTGGGCCGTCAATTTTCAATAGTTTCAAGTGTTTATAGATCTACGTAATCTATACTATTTTTGAAGCTCTAAATTTTATAAATAGATATAAAAAAATATTTTTAGGCCATCACAAAGATTTTTGCTTTTAAAAATTATCTTTCGATACTATTTAGAGGTGCGCCTTACTTTGATTGTTTAGCGACTCAACCTTATAGAAACCACACCCTTAAAAGAAAGCCACAACCCATAGACTATAAACTCATGCCATCAGATGCTTACTGCTTTCGTAGTTACCGAAATCTCTCAACCCAGGTCGCGATTCCGCTTCGGAATCCCGATTCGGCGACTTCGACAAGGAATCTCACGGAACCTATTTCCTTGAAATCAGAAATATCGATTCCTCATTTTAGGGATCTCAATTCCAACTTTTTACGTACCATGATCCTAGCATTTATGGAATCTCGATTCTAACTTTTTCCAATTTCGATTCTAACATTTATTGAATTGAAATTCCACATTTGTTTATTCCCGATTCCAAATATAATGAATCTCGATTTGATTTCTTTTTTAACCCAAATCCATAGCATCAAGTACCTCGGTTCGTAGTTGCAAGAAATTGTAATTCAATCAACATGGAATCTTGCTTCCACCTTCATAGAATTTCGATCCAAATTTTTTTGGAATCCTGATTCCCCAAAATTAAGTATTGATGTTCATAGTGCACAAAACTGTTATTCTTTGAACGTGGAATCTAACCTCAAATATTTATGGATTCTAATTTGAATTATTTGGAAACCTTACTGAAGAACAAAGGCAGGTATAACTAGGGCACTGGAGCGTTAATGAGAGTACTAATGGTGTTAGGATTGGCTCGAATTACGTTTCTAATAGTGCTAGGAATGGCTCGGATCACGTTTCTAATAGTGTTAGGATTGGTTGCCTTTTTTAAAATTCAACCAATAATGAGTTTTACATTCAAATAGCACTACGACACAGATAACACCATGGCACAAACAAAGTCCTATTTTGAATTACAATAATGAAATCAAAATCACGTTTCAAAAATATATGAAATAATATTTGTATCCTTTGTAGACAATTTCTCTGGTGAACTCCAAGTGCCGATTAATTGACCTTACTTCTGATACTGTATATAGGGCTTAATAGTCAATAACTCTACATTGACTTCATATCTACGTAACACTTCTTCAGGTCTTAGAGACCTCTAATGTCGATTGCATGATGAGGTTCTGGGTTGCTAAGGCACGAGATGTTGATGATGTAGGAATCTTGATTATAAAGGGGTTCAAACTCAACTCCATAGAGTTACAAATTTTAATTGAAGGTGGGTAGAAGCTCAACTCCAAACTCATATGAACCTCGATTTCCATACTGATATAAATATTGATTCAAAATACATCAAGAATTTGATTCCAAAGATGTCAAGATTGTCATTCCAATATATAAAGGAATCTCATTTCCATATGGGTCGATTCCAAATAGGTTAAAAACTCGATTCCAAAATGGTTGGAATTTTGATTCCATGTATGTAGGGATCTCGACTCCATTTGAGTCGAAACTCGATTCTATAAAGTGGAAATCGCTTTCCCACGATTCCCCTCGTACAAATGTCGAATCTAAAAACCGGAATCTTCTAGCCAGTTGCGATTCCGCAATTCCGTGATTTCGCGATTCCTAAAACGATTCAAAATCTCAAGGATTTCCAACAACTATGCTATTTTCCTAAAGTATACTCAGCAAACCTAATATTACTGCTAGTGGAAACAAAATAGAAGTCCATTGCCGTATCTCACATCAACATCACATGACTCAAGTAGTGAAATGTTTCACAAAAAAATCAATTGAGAAACCCTTCCACTAGGTTTCTATAGGTTAAATGAATCTGCGCATTTGAAGGAAACTGCATCAGAGAAAAAATTGCAAAATCAAATGCCACCAACAATGTTAACATTGTCGCTCAACATCCAATAACTGCAAGAAACTTCCAAAATTAGGTATGGAAAATCATGCAAAAAGATAAGGATGACAACATAGAGATTATTAGATTTCAAACCCCATATTCTAGGAAGTTTGGAACAAATTAGAAAAGCGACATCTACGGCAGAAACAAAACCGCTACAGAGATTTCAACTATTTATTTTGGGTGATCTAGCCACAGAGCTCACCAAATGTATCACATTGCTGAAAATGGGAAGCCAATGCATTAAACAGCTCCAAATTGTATGCCAACCACCAAGGACCTGCATGGACTGTCCAAAAGATAAACATAGAACATAGTTCACAATATACATGATTTATAATGATCAGAAATCAACAGGGTACCATATCATGCGCCATGGAAAACAAGCATCATATTGCATGGACTGATATGGAGTGCATGAGTAGGAAGTATATTTTCAGAAACAACAGTGTACTGGGAAAAGGAAAAAATACATAAATGAATACCAGCTCACATCCACTCCTAAAGACATAAATTGGCTCCCCTACCAACAAGATTATTGGAAGCATCAAGTTTACCATCATACCCTCATTGCTAGCAACTGTCTAGTCCGCCAGAGACATCTATACAAAGTTACTCAGACTAAGCTACCTCGAGCAAGAAATTTCTAGGCAAAAGATGGAGAATATCAGAATACTACCTGCGTATTGAGGTTGGTAATTTCCCCTCAATGATGCACACGCTGTGCAGCCGATTGGTTTAGCCGTCAACCACACTATCCAAACATTCATATTAAACCAAATCATAGTGTTTTATTATTGAAGACAGAATCTCATCAGCTGACAAAATCTTCCGATTCCAATTGTCTCAAATGTATGAATGCTTTTATATGCATGAATGATTTTTCGATTTTCCTTGACACATGATTGAAAAACAACGCAGTGGAGTGCCACAAACTCCAGTTATGAAGCTGACTTTTGTGATACATCACAAAATTGCCGTGAGACCCCAAGCAGTTGCAGATTCTGTGAAAAATAACTACTCACGTGATCAACAATTCGATTTTCATGAACTCGTGATCATCTCAACTCCATAGGGTTTACTTTTTCATGAGAATGTAACAATTATGTTTATTTCTACAATATTTAACAACTAGGAATACTAATTCATTTTACAGATTATACTAACCATGGACATGTTTATTAAGGTATGGCAGGTTGGCCTATAGCACTTAGTACCTCATTTAACACACACCCACCCACCCCCACTCCCCTCCTTCTCCTCCTCCTCCTCCTCCTGAGAATCAAGTATCAAACTCTTACTGTGCATGATTTTGGATTACTGAGGGAAACCACCTCAGACAAGGTAAGTTTAGTATAAAGAATCAAAATTGTATAATCTGAAAAGGAACTCGCAGCATGTCTCCATTTTCACTGTCTGGTATTGATGTTCTTCTCAGCAAGAATAATACAATAGAAACTAGAACTTTGAAGTTACTGTGTATCTTTTCCAACACACCAATCCTGTGAAGTGACAAAACTTTCGTTTTCTCGTAAAAAAGGAGAAATCAAATCCTATGCATGAAATTAGAGCTAGCATAACTAGACTGAAGGAAGATAGTATACCTCCCAAGAAATGGCATTGGAGTAATTTGAAGACTTTACTGAATAAAGGAACGATGATAGAGCAGCAAGCTCCTGCAAGCTCCTTCAAAATACAAATTCGATATTATATTAGTTACATGTCTATCAAAAGATCAATAAAAAAAAACCAATCTTGACATTGAATCAGAAAGATTGAATAGAAAAAGTGGCAATCACAAACATATAAAACATCATGAAGGGAGATCAGGAATAAGAGGTTGTGACTCTAGAAGCTACATAGCTGAGACTACAGCATTTTGGATAAAGAATAAACTGATATAGCTTTAATTTGCACTAATCTCCATGTCGAGCCACAAAGAGCAAGTACATGAAACAGAAAAGGCATAGGATATCATTCAATCGTCAATAACATACCGCAAAGCCCAAAGCGGACTATCATAATCATGTGCAGTGATTCCCTCGCTAATAATCCTGCCAGAGAAAATCAATCCATGATTTTAACATCTACAAGGAATCCCCATTAACTGGTTATGAATTAATAGCATTCGTCTCACTCTCTCTATGTGTAGTTGCACACCATTGAGCCCACATTACCTCTCAAAACTTTCAGATAAGCCTTCAAACCAGTTAAGGACAAGTGTTTTAGGAATACGGGTTCGATGATTCCGTAGAAGGAAACAAAAAGCACAATTCCTGTAGCACACAACAAAAACAAGTCATAGTATTATCCAGTGTTTTAAAACTTGGCATTCAGGTCAGTACTTGCCCTAATTGAATCATCTCAGAATCCTGGTGACGATTATGATTAATCAAGAGACTTCCCAGAGTATAAGGCTTCCTATCAATTAACTACACCAAGTCTCTCTAAGACTCAGCTGAAGCCAACTTGGTATGACACAGCTCAGGAGTCTAGCAAGTCCCAAGAACCCAAAGACTATTTTTAATATAAAAAGAAGACAACGAACAAACCATTAGTTCTTCTATAACACACAGTTCAACTAACATTGGATCAGAACTCAACACAACACTAGCACAAAATCCACTGATGAAAATGATCGCGTTTTCTTTCCTAGATCCAATCCAAAGTGAGAGTGGAACTTCTTAAAGTGAAGCTTAGAGAAACAGACAGTCCAAAAGCATGACCTCACCATAACCATTTTCCTTTCATTATCCCTTCTTTCAATCGTGTTTCGGCGTCATCCTTCTTGATTCGTTTCACAGAAGAAGGTGGCTTAAGGGCATGAGTACAGGCCTGAAAGAGGACAATATCATTGTAACAACACATTCAGCAATTATAGATTTGACATAAAAGAGAAGAGCTTTCATGGATGAGAAAATTTATCTTCAGATTCAGACCACCTTATAAATAACAGAAGCCGCAAGTTCCATCAAACTGTGCAGTGAACTAGCAATGCTGCCAACCCTGCCTCTCATTGCAATGTCAATATACCTGTCTCCCCAATATACAGTTAGTCATCCAAATATGCAAAATGAAAGCAAGAAACAAATAGAGAAATGAAACAAACTCACCATGGGGTACTAGACCCAGAAGAATCACTCTGGTCCAGTATCTTACTAACAACATATAAAAGTTGCTCTAACAGTTCACTTCTAACGGAAGATCTCCTGCTCAATTTCAATTGTATCCTTGCATAAAGAATAAGTGCATTCTGCACGAAACAAGACTTTCAAGTGTCGATTCACTAATTGATAGAAGAGACAGAAGGTATTAGTGGGTTTGTACCTTTAGTCCTCGATCATGAGTCGACATCCAGCATTGAACCATAATTTCCCGAACAACCAAATGAATCTCCAGAACTTGGGTGCCTAAATTCGGACCATCCTTTAACAGAAATATATTGATGAACTGAAAAATCTTGCATGAAACCTTCTCATCTCTGCATCGTAGTTAAAAATAATAAACACAAATATAATTTACAAAAGTCCACTATTGTTCGGGAGTAAAGAAACCACAAGTGGAAATAATTATATAGAAAGAATGGGACAATATCTATACTACATTATTAAGCCGAAAATAAATGATGGACACATGGCGCAAGAATAAAGAGGGACCCTATCCTTAGCGAGTATGTAAGGTAAGTGACAATTAAATAGAAAATGTAGAGAAGACAATTAAATAGAAAGAATTTAAAGAACTATGTAGGTTAAATAGACCCCCTTTATTAGGATAGAAGGGATTAGATAAATTTCAAAAATTGCATGCCAAATCTTTTCCTAAGCCTTCTCACTCCTAAATCCATGTGTACTCTTATTTCTCTTTCTCTTCTTAAATTTAGATAAGGAAATTTTTGTTAAATTTAGATAAGGAAATTCTTTTCAAATCTTACACAAAAAATGAAATTAGCATATCAAATTTTTGTGTGAGATGCATTAAAATATTTCATTTAACTATTTCTTGGAAAGAGTTTCCCATCAAGGAGGGATATACATGGCAAAATTATTATCATATCAACTTTTCATGAGACATACATAAAAAGATTTTAGCCGTTTCTAATAAATTGGAGAGAGTCTCCAATCAAGGAGGTATATGTTTGGAAAGATTTGACTCACATATCATCTCCATAGTTAGAGATTGCTATTTTCTCAGATGATACATTATCATATAAATATTTATGTGTTTTATGAGGTATCCTTCTTTCCCCTTCTCTCTACCTCATCCTCCATGATGTGAGCTCATCGAAATTTGACCTTCTACAGTGGCTCGCCTCTTACCCTATCTTTTACTTCACATGCCTCTAATCCATTGAAGGCTTGTTGCAACCTTTGTAACCAAGTGAGCATCATGTTCTAGTTTAAGTTTCTTTGTGTTCTAGGTATGTTCAATTTTTTTTTCTCCAAGCTTTACAAGAGAGAGAGAGAGAGAAAGAGAGGGAAACTATTTGATGTTTTCCTGTATTTGGAACTACAATTAATCCATTTTTGTTTTTCCTTTTTTCTGAAGAGAGCGATATCATATTCTTCGAGTTTTTAAAGGTAAGATAGAACTATTTCATTTTTGGTTTCTTTTGTTTGACAATTAGTTTGTTTGATGAAATAAAGAAATGCTTTTCTATTTTATTACTATAAATTCATTCAATGGGGACTAATACATAAACTTCCATTAAAAATATTTATAGATTTCTCTTTTTATGATATTTTGCATATTATTTCCAGTATATTTTTTTTATTTTATATTGCGAATAGCTAATTTTTAAGATAATTTGATTTCATGGGTAGATGAATTATTTAGGTCTCTCAACACCAAATTATGTAACTTTTCTTACAATTTAGTTAGATTTATTTTTTTTGTTTTCATATCTTTAGATTGAATTTCTTCATTTTTTATTAGACGCTTAATGCTCTCATCACACGTGCAAAGCATGTGTTGTTTTACTAGTAAACTATAAATGTCTCAATCTGTAGCAACAAATAAGAGATACCTATAGTGGCAACTAGATGTTAAGAATGCCTTCATGGTATTTACAAGAAGAGATATATATGGAGCAACCACCATGGTTTGTTGCTCATGACGGGTCAAACAAAGTATGTAAGTTGAAGAAAGCAATTCATGGCGAAGCAGTCCCCACGTGCATGGTTTGAGACATTCAGTGAAATTGTTATAGCACATGGGTTTCAACAGTCTTGTGGATCATTCAGTATTATCCAGAAATAATCCACTTGAATTATTGCCTTAGCAGTTTATGTTGATGATATCATATTACAAGGAGTGATCAAGAAGGAATTAGTAAGTTGAAGGCTATCTACAACAGTATGTTCAGACAAAAGATTTGGGATGGCTAAGGTATTTTCTTGGAATTGAGGTGGCCCGGACCCAGTAGGGCATTAGTCTGTCTCAAAGGAAATATGTAACAGATTTGTTGTTAGGAACAAGAACGTTGGGTGCTAAGCCAGTTGATACATCTATGGATCCAAGTACTAAACTATCAAAAAATCACATATAATTGAAGACTCTGGCAGATGCAAAAGGCTTGTAGGTAGAGTTATCTACCTGACAATCACTCAGCCAATTATAGCTTTTGCTATTGATGTAGTGAGTCAGTTTATACATTCTCCCAAAACACCACAGTGGGAAGCAGTGAGGAGGATTTTGAGATATTTGAAGTGGGCTCCAAGTCAAAGACTCGTCTACACGAGGAATGCCCATTTTAGCATCGAGAGCAATTCTAATGTTGACTGGGCCAGGTCTCAATCAGACAGAAGATCTATTATGAGCTACTATACCTCTGTTGGAGGAAATTTGGTAACCTGGAAAAGCAAGAAACAGAGTGTGGTAGTAAGGTCTAGTGCAAGCCGAGTACAGAGAGCAATGGCTCACAACGTATGTAAACAAATGTGATTGAAAATCTTGATGTGGAAAATGGGATTCTTAGGTGCTAAGTCACTGAAGACATTTTATGACAATTAAGCAGCCATACATATCACCAGCAATCCAGTTTTTTCATGAGAGAACAAATCATATGATGGTAGATAGCCATTTTATTTGGCGGAAAGTGACAAGTAATCAGATAATAACTCCATATGTGAAGTCAAAGTATCAATTGGCTAATATATTCACCAAGGTTTTTGGTCCTAACCAGACTCTGCAAATTTGTCCCAAGCTCAGTATGAGTGCTATATGTGCTCCAGCTTGAGGGGGGTGTTAAAGATTAAATTATTTTGTGGTTATTAATGCTCACTACAATGTGGGGTATCTTTGTCTTTTTTATAAACTTTAGGAGATTAGGTTACATTAAATTACTTACAAGGGCATTTTGTAATACGTATCAACATCATCTACTACAAATAAAATATTAATAGGTGTGTGGAGGATTATTCAACCCTGGGGCAATTAGAAATCCTACACGCACCTCGCTTTCTCTATCACGTCTCTCTCTCTCTCTCTCTCGCTCTCTCTCTTATTTCTCCACTTTCTCCCGTCACACTTCTTCTTTTCTTCTTTTTTTTTATCTTCTTCTGATTTGCTCTTTATTAACAATATTGATAACTTACTTTGTAACTCTATTACGTAATAATATAAATCTTTCTCATAGGTGGTAGAGAGGATGATTTAGAGCCCAATAGAGAGGAATTTGATAGCGAGGATGGAGGTGGAACTGATGGTGGAGAATTGACAATGAAGATGAAAATTAGTTATTATATATGACTTGTATTCATTTTTCTTAGCATTTATGAATTTGTCATCAGTATGTGATTTACTATTGTAACAAACTGACTGTGGTCTATGAGATGTGAAGTTATGGAGTTGTGACTTTATAATTTTTTGCCTTCAACAAATCATTTTCATTGTTATTGTTTATTGATTATTGGAGTACATCATGAGATATGGACACATGGAATGTTATAATTTTATTTTTATTCATATTATTTTCTTAAATTTTCTTATTTTTCAATTTTTTGGATTTTCATGTTTTCTCTCTTTCAATTTTTTTGTATTTTTCTATTTCTTATTTGTTTAATTCATAACCATTTGACCGATAAACCGGTCCAGTCTAACTCGTCAGGCTGAAAAATGCCCTCATCAATTTAACCTCTGGTAGATCACATCCAACCACGAACAACCCCAAATGTTAATAATCCACTTCTTCATATCAAGCAGTATAAGAATCAGAATAAACATACAAAACAAAACAAAAAAAAGTCATAAGTTCACTCAAAGAATTTGAAAAGTTCATTCAATGAATATTTCAAAATTATGAGTGCTTCTTCACTTCATGTATTACAAGGCAAAGCATTTCCCCAACTGAAATTATCAACAGTCCTAATTAAAAAATAAGAAGTTTGGACAGCATCCCTTTTGGTTTCTTCTTGAAGCTCAAACAAATTTTTGAAAGGGCCACCAAGCTAAGCTAAATGGTGAAGATGATAAAATATGTCAATAGATATGCTATTTTCTTAATAATTAAAATATTGAAAGCTATTTTGAGCCAAATTTGAGTGTGAGCACACCCACAAAGATGCGTGCACGGAAGCACGGAGGCATGCAAACACACAGGCTCTAAAGCAATTAGAGAGAAAAAGAAAATGCCTTCAGAATTATAAACCCTCAATCTATCAAGATATATATTAGAAGGCCTCATCTCCCTCAAAGGAAAACAATTTATCGCTCATAGGAAAATGGAGACACAAAGCTTGTCTCTTGAGCCATTTACTGTGTAAAACGAACCTCAAGTGAGGACCAAACCCAACAAACCACTTGACAAGTTCCTCCCTTAAATTATCAGGGAAGTCTCCAGGAGGATTCTCCAAGAGTATATGAAGCGTCTGGACTTCTTTAGAGCTCGTATTGGAATTCAACTCTCCCTTCAAAGATAGTTCCACTTTTCTCATTAAATTAAGTACTAGACCTGAACACAGTAACATATGAGTCAGAAAATGAACAGCAAAGGGCAGCACTACACTGATAAAAAGCAATATTTATTTGAAACTCAGAAAGAATGGCTCCAGAACCGTAAGTCAAAATAACAAAATGGCATAACATCATGAAGTCGACACTCACTGCAATAAAGTCGCTTTCTCAAGTTTATGCGATACTGTTTTTTGGCCACCAGTTGTTGAAGAATGTTGTAGTAATCAGAAGGAAAGTTTGTAGCATCCCGTAGAACTTCCCATATGTGATTGAAGAGTGGCTTAATGGCAGGCAATAGCAGCACTGTCCTACCTGAAAGGAAAACCATTCATAAGCATTGTAAAAAAATTTAAAAAAATGCACTAATAAAAGCACAATTGCTCTGTACAGCAATTCAACATACAAACAGAACTTCTACAAGGTCCAATGCATAATAATCAAACTATGAGATTAAAAGCACAAATATTGCCCTCATAAAAGCACGCAGGCCATGAAGTCAGAGCCAGAACACTGCCCCAATAAGAAGTAGACAATTGCCTTGTTCAGCAATTCAACATACAAATGGAACTATTCAAAGTTCCAATGCTTGGTAATGGCACTATGAGATGAAAATCTTCTATGAAATAAAGGCATGTTGCAAGAAGACCATAAATTCAGAGCCAAAATCACATACAATTCCTATATCCACCTAGCAATGAGAGGCATCCAAACAAGATCCCACACACCAAACCAGCTACATCTTTTAATTACTGGCAGCTATTCCAGAGGTCAGAGCTAATCTCATAGTCCTATATCCACCTTAAGATCTACACTGAAACCACTTGCATTTTCCTCTTCCCTTCTTCACAAGGAGCAAAGAACCAACAATCACAAATATCAAACACTCCCAACCTCCAATGTAACTTCCCTAGCTATTTTAACGTTTAAGAATTTTCATAAACAATCTTTAACTATCTGCTCCAAGTTCCTGTAATCATTAAGATATAGCCAGGACCCAAACACTCCTTCACTATGAAAAGCCCCATTGAATACCTCACCCCTTATAAAGTGACTTACAGCTTCGAAAAGTTTAGGGCCAGTTTGGAAACTCCACTTATTCATAAAATAAGCCCCAACATCTAGCATCTAGCTGTTCATTCAATAATTGTTTTAAGCATTGTTGGTGCTATACAGTTATTCATGAGAAAGTCCTGTCTCTCTCACTCACATAAAAAACAGTGCAATCTCTTCCCCACGTACTTTAAAGAAAAGTGGAAAAAGAAAAAACCCTTTGCCCCTTATTCATGAATAACCCTCATTCGTGAGTAACAGATAAAGTTACCAATCATCCAAACTGATCCTTAACGTACCACTGAAATAAGATAAGGACACATATAAACAGAAATCTGCCAATACGAGTAACATATCTATCAAATGACAAGGGCAGTCAATTTTCAATCGAGTAAGTTTCTAGTTTTATGTAATCATCAGATTTCAGGCTCATATACTAAATGAATGAATATACCTTGTTTCCAAATAAATTATTCTTTAAGAATGTTATGATAGAAATACACTAACATTTTTACAATTGCTAATAGTCATTCTTGACAATAAGCACAGAACATTTTTGACAATTGTTAATAGTCATTTTTTGTCAATAAGCTGTTAGCAACCCATTCTAGGATGATTTCCATTTTCCAGAACCCGATTGCAGGATCACTAATAACACATTTTTAAAATCCATGTGGAGCAGATATTGTTCTAAAGTACTATTTAAACATCAAAAAGGGAAAAAAGAAAATGATGATTCCATAATCAGCTGATTTACATTCACAGGCATGAACAACCCTACTTAATCAAGGGAAAAATTAGTCCCCATAACAAAATATGAAAAAAATAATAATAAAGAGTAAAAAACAAAACAGCAAAATGAAGAAAATAGGTGAAGGAAAAAAATATGGTTATACATAGGAATTGGAATATTCCATTAGCTACCTGAATACTTAATGTCTTCTGCATGGTCAACAAAGTTCTTAAGAGTCTTAAAGAAAATTGGTTTCACTGCCCTTTTCCTGCTCGTGGATATCTCTGTGGCCACACACTGGATGAGCAATGTGAGAAGATATGGCCACGTTTCAGCTGCAAGAACAATATAATCCAGTGTGAATGCCAAAAGTACGCATAACATTTCATCAAAACAATGTTAAGCGATAGTACTTAGTTCAGTGTGAATGCACCTCACAATAATAACATAACATAACATCTCAAAAAATTATGACCTCATAATCCTGCTGGAAAATGCAGTTCCCACACCGGAAAACCTTATGATGGCCCAAAAATATATTTTCACACCAAATATGAAGTTCCAAAATGGTGCATATCTTGCGGATGCGTGAATGCTTGAAAATGATTGTTCCAAATAATTTGTTCTACTACTATTTATAAGGCTTGAAATCCATTTTCTCCAAATCCATAATTGTCAAAGTCAAGAGGATAAATTTGAGGGTTTTCTGGGAGGAATCACGTTTTCAAGCAGATTTTCAGATGCCGCTTTACATTTTATCACAAAGCTTAGGACTTGCATAAACCTTTTCCATGATATGTAGCACAGTATGAACGCCAAGAAGATCTAATAATAACAACAAGCATTTAAAACTATATTAAATCAATAATATAAAGTTCAGTGTGAATGCCAAGTAGGTTCCTCATAATAACGAGCAGCATACATGTCAAAAAACTATATTAGATCTTCCAGGATCAGAGTTCAAGGAGTCAGCCAAGGCTCAGTCGACTCAGCCGAGCAACTAGGCCTCAGCACCCTGCCAGGGCGAGTTTCTATTCCAACTCGCCCTTCTTAAAATCCCTTAAATCACAAATTTTGTTTAAAAACCACTAATATATGATTTAGAAATATGCATCTATAAAAGTTTTAGGTGCTCCATGATGATTTGTGAGATATTCTTATTATATACTGTATTGTTTTTATTTTTATTGAAATATTTCAATATATAAATCAATTTTTTCAATAATCGATCTTTTATACAACTTTTTTCATCTTTTACAGACTTTAACAATTTCTACTTCTTATTTCAGTTTGTGCCAGTTTTTATTTTAATAATTTTTTACTGTTGTTTTTTATTTTTTATTTTGGGCCTATTTGGTGTTTTGCAGGACTCGGCCAAGTAAGTCAGCTCAGGCTAGGCCGAGCCCAAGGCCTGAGCTGAATTCTATAACCTTGTCCAGGATCTAGGCTTGAGATCAGTTAATGTGTTTACAATTGCAACACTACACCGAAGACATCCAGTATTTTAACCCCCAAAACCAGAAAATTACTTAAAAAATTGCATGTATAATGCATAGATTAACAATAAAAGGCAATCACAATCAGAGCTTTATTGAATGAATGCAAAAATAGCAAACCCTAACATAACTATAATCATATTCCAACAGGATTAGATTCATTAAATGAGTAATTTATTCTAGATTTCTTATAGAAATCAATGACATTTGCAGCAAATTAACGACTACAGGCAATACATGAAGCATAAAAAATAGTCGGAGTGCTAAAGTAGTATATGAATTTTACTTTTTTAAAATGGGATTGAGCTGGAAATTTGAAGGTGTTTGTGCCCATGTGAGGCACACCTAAAAAAATCAGGTACACATTCTCAAAAATTTCAGTCTAATACGATTTGTAAATAGAATAGAACAAAACTTAAATACTAACACACACTCCCAACCGTCTAGCCCCATTGTATGTGTGTATGTGTGTATGTGTGTATGTGTGTGTGTGCGTGTGTGCGTAAATGGAAATTACAGTGAGGAATCTCATTCCGCTGGAGCTTAGCAGTGTTCTTGCTGAGAAATTTGCAGAAGCTGCGGCATCCTGGCTCTTCCAGATAAATGTCCAAAAGCTTAACCCCTTCCTGGAACAAATCAACAAAAAAAAACCATTAACACCATTTAAAATCATGAAATTGAAATGCTAAATGTCTCACAACTTCATAGAACCTTCCTGGAACAAATCAACAAACAAAAAACCATAAACCTCATTAAAAATCATGAAATAATAAGCACACTAAGCTAAGGAAATTGAATAAAAACCATCACCTCTCTGATTTTTGTTTTGTCGGATGAAAGTTTAGAGACGATCTCATGTATATCTCTGGACATAGCCATGATTCCTCTGCAAAACAAATGCCACAAAGTTCGTTTCTAATGAATTTCAGATATGAATAATGATTGACTACTGCTGTAAGTGTGTTTATTTCATAGATTATTACCGATTAATTAAGGAAATAGATCTGCATTTTCCGATCAAAATGCAAAGCCAGGGAAGTGAAATTGCAGCCTCTGAAAATGTGTAAACGAAGGCGAATTTAGAAGAGGAATGACGCGGGAACGTAGGGCTGGCTTTTATGAACGGAAAAAGTTTATATAAGAAGTTCATATAAGGTTGCAATGCATCCCAAAAAACATCCACAAGAAATGGTTATTTTAGGTTCGTTGGGTAAGTCAAAATATATTACGTGAAAATATATTACAAGAAAATAGGATATTTATGTATACCCAATCGTAATAAAATTGGATACCCAATCGTAATAAAATGAAAAGAAATTACGCAATATTTTTAAAAAAAAATTAGGAAATTCATTACGTATGATAATAAATGAAAAATCCATTATGAGAGTGACAAGTAATTTTTAAAAAAATTTCGCGTATGGCTTTGCCTATCATGTTTCTAATTAAAAAAATCTTTTTAAGTCCTCTCTTTTCATAATCTCTTCATAATAGCTTATCTTTTTAAACTCGTCCCTCCATTTGAAGACATCAGCTATCATATAAAAACAAAAATAATAAAAATAAAAATCAGTAATCGATACATTACACAACACAATCATAATAAAAAATTTCACGTGATCCGTCTTTTTTTAAGCTCGTCCCTTATCTCAAGGCATAGTGTCATATAAAAATAAAAATAACAAAAATAAAAATTAATAATCAATGATAAATTACACGACACAATCATAATAAAAACACGACACAATCATAATAAAAAAATTTACATAACATAATCCTTATGAAAGATTACTAAAATCTCACTTGAAATAACATATCTCTTTAGGCTCATCCGATACCTCAAAATGTTATATTGTAATTACTCAACCTTCTAGTTTACTAATGAAACTTCTTCCCATTTTTTAACTCTTACCCACTGATTTTGAACTTAGTATCATAAATTTTTTGTTTATTTGAAATTATATAGAGAGATATTTGAAAGACTTTTATCAACAATAAATAAAAATAAGGTTTATCATAATAAAATCATGTTATTCCAATCATATTGTTCCAATGACTTATAGTGTTGAAACCAATGTTAGGTTAGAAAACATGTGTGATTGCATATAAGTGCCAAAGGTACTTAAAATAAGTAGGAAATAGTATCATGACTGTAAAATGGTACAAGTTATTATTAAAAAATCTATTTGAAATGGTGATATTATCATAAATCTTTTTGAAATGGTATGATGATGATTTTAATTTAGTATTTTAGTGGAATTTTTGTGACAAAAAAAAGAAAGAAATAATAATTATGCATTTTAGTGGAATTTTGTGACAAAAAAGAAAGAAACGATAGTTTATAGGCACATGTTGGTAAAATGTTGGTAATGCCTTTCCTATATTTATTTCAGACATAGCCAAACAATAACAATGTATTTCCTATGTTACATATAAGTATTAACCAAACAGTAACAATCCATCCACAGGTAATGTACTACGCCAGTAATATATTTTCAGGTATCAAAACGGGCCCTTAATGTTGAAAAACTTTCCAATTGATCGAATATGCTTATAAATAGTATATCTTGCAATAAATTATCTAAACCGTTCATTTTCAAGATTTTCATATATTTATGGATCCACTTAATTTTAACTATTTTTAAATTTTAAAATTTTATAATTAGATATAAAAATATATTTTCAAATAATCTTAAAATATATATATATACTAAAAATATATGTTATGATAAAAATTGGAGGTGCACCTTAATTGGATTGTTTAATATTGCAACCCTATAGAAACTGCACCTTTACAAAAGGCCGTTTTAAGAGGGGTATATACGGAGAGAAATGGAATTTTCCTTGTTTCTCAGTTGAGACTATTTTTATTCATATATGTGTCATAAATGGGGCAAAGGGCCTTTGTTTGCCTACAGGGCATTTTCGTCTTTTCAGATGAAATAGCGAGCAACATAAGCAATATAATCATTTGTAGATAGGGATGGAAATATTTCGGGTCCGGTTGGACCTAGACCTGGAACCGAATAATATTTAGATTCAAATTTTAGACCCATATCTGCACTCAAAGTTAGGTCTCGGGTCTACCTGTCGGGTCCTTAGGTCCTTTACCACCCTTATTGGTAGTGGTCTGGTCACAATAAATGACAAAAATAATTTGGTGCTTTTTTTTTGCCTTTTTGGGGGGTGATTTTTCATTAGGATTTCTGGCTATGACCTCCTGTGTCCCTTCTAAGCAAGGGCCTCAAGGTGGTGAGTGTAGTTTGCCATGATATAACGTTTTGAGTTTCATTTATACAACATAAAAAATATTTATTCTCCTTTGAACTATTCAAGAAAAAGCTAGTCACAACAATCTATCATGGTCTCCTTCCAACAGTCTTCACTTTTTCTAGACCAAACATTTGAGATGGTCTATTTTTTTCTTTTTTTAATTGTTAGCAACCTTTCATTGCTGAAATATGTAGTACATCAAATGCACAAAACTTCATCCTAGTACATTTGGGATTGGATAGAACCATACTTTTTTAAGCGATCTACTGGAATTGTTTACCTTTAGTACACCAAGGTCATAATTATATTTAAGTCGTCGAATGTGAGAACTGTCAACTTAGTGTGTACCACAAAGCTTAGAGATTGTTTTTAGGATACACTATTAACCATTTGATTACTTATTTAATATGCAATGGCAATTGTGACCTCCTTGCAGCAAAGACAAATATTCTTATTGTATACTTTTTTATATTTTAATTTTTGCCAATTTTCTATAAGCCCCGGAAAACAAATGACCACTATTAACTTGAGAGAGAGCATTCAGATATCTCCCTCATACTAACTAGCCGCACTAAGCTATCACACCTTCAGCTTCTTGATCTGCTTTTTGGTTTTCCCCCTATACACATGGTTGTACGCCACTTTTTTTTCCAACCCCAACTCTACAGTTCCATCTAGGAATGAATAAAATTCCAAGGAGGTCTTGCACTCCTCTTGCATCACATAAGTATGTTAGAAAACTCCCCTTCCCCTATCAAATCATTTTTTGACTGTCACTCAATGGTCATCTCATTCCCTGTAATAAAGATTTTAAGTTCAGCCTCCATGATGTTGCACTATCGACATTGTCCCAAGTATGTGAGCAGTGTGTGTGACTTCTCTCATCCGTTGTCGGACCCAGGATTACCTATAGCACTTAAAACTCAGTTTCAACCAATCATCCTATGGTGGTTGCCATCCTTCCCTCATTGGTTTCATGATATAATCTCAGCACTATCTTGGTACTATGCATAGGGACTGTATACAATGAGACAATTTTCTTTTAATACAAATAGGTCATTTATTTATAACCATCCAATGTGAAATATGATGGCTTGGATGTGTTATAAAGTTTGACAAAAATTATTTTGAACTTTGAGCTTGGTCAATGGAATAAATGTAACCACTCAATTCACATATGATGGTCAAAAATAATTATGACCACATTGCACCAAAGATAAATGGTCTCACTGTGTACTTTTCCTCCTACATAATGCCTTCCTTGGTGACTCCCCCAAATTCCTTAATTGTCATTGCCCATGATCCTATTGTTGCTATGGCATTTGATTTTATGTGGCTTCCAAGAGCAATCCTTGAAAATATCTATGATTATTTTCTTTCCATACCTTCCAAAATGCTTCCACTTGAAACATTTGCCTCAATGGCTTACATCATTTTTTCAACTTGGGATGAGGCTACTGCAATATGAAATACATTGTAGTCATTGGCACTATCCAATTGAAGTCAAATATAACAAATGCTCAATTTCAAATCTCCAATTTGAAGGGATAGTGAAGAAAAAGATGGATAAGAATATCCTCATCCTCAAAAGGTTCTAGAACCTTATGACATGAATCCTGAGGCATCCGTCCAATTACATGTTTTGATCCAAAAGATACGTTTGCCGCACGTGGGACAATTTTATCAATCTTATGTAGTGTTTCAGTAAAAATAGCTATTGTTTTCCAATAATAAATTGCAACGAACAGAAGTTTAAACCATTGAAAATCTTATTTCCGTGTAAACTAGTATAGATTTTCTAAGTCAGCTGGATGAGTTTTTATAGGGACGGGGCTTCTATGACATTTTTACGATTGGTGGGTATGGTTCATGGTGCATGGGATATGGAGTACGATGGACTTCCAGGTCAAAGTGGTTCATGAAATAAAGGCTAAAGTAATCTTGTCGGGATATATATATATATATATATTTTGTTAATACTTTAATATATACCATTGCCCTACATTTTATAGGTAATACTGCTATCTTAGCAGCAAGATCTGCTGACCTTTTATCAAACCTTAGATGTCTTCCATTATCCCATTATAAATGGTATAAAGCCGTTTTCTTTTCTCGTCTACTTATACGAGAAGATAGCCATTTAGATCATTGGAAAGAAAAATTTGTAGCCGGCTTACCTTATCTATTTGTTGAAAAAGTAAAAGAACTTTTAAAAAGTATGCATGGTGGAACAATCAATTATTCTCAATATACTTTAGGAGAATTATCAACGGAAATATGTGCTGAAGGATTAGCCTTATGCACAGATATGAAATTAAAGAAACAAATCGATAAACAAAATATAAGTGGCAAAAAAGAATTAGGAGATTTCTGCGAACAGTTTGGTTATTATATTGACAAATTAAACCTCATGATTTACATAAATTCCATAAACGAAAAAAACATAAATACAAAGATAAACCAAAACAGGATAAACTCCAACACTTGTCCAAACGAAAACATAAATTTACCAAAAGATTTGCCTCTACTAAATCATCGCAAAGAAAAGATAACAAATTACCTGTCTGTCATAAATGTGGAAAAGTTGGCCATTACAAAAGCCAATGTAAAGTTAAAAAGAAAATTGCAGCTGTGATCTTAGATGAACAAATAAAAAATAAGATCTATGATATCATACAAATATATCATTCTCCATCTAGCTCAGATTCAGATACAACTTCCTCTAGTAGTAATACATCTTTTCTTGGTAACATCCATGATGAAGAGCTTTATTGGTCAAATATAAGTAATTCTGAAAATGATGAAGACTTATGTAAATGTCCTTCTTCCACTAATAATCAATGTCCTATTTC